ACACCAAACTGGATTGGCAAAAGAGAACGATGAGCTTATACCAATTAATTGGTGTCCCATAGATGTTTGAACTTTTCCACCCAGAAACTCAGAGATTTGTATCTTGACAGAAACAAAATCGGAGATATCGGAGCACAGCATCTCGCGAAAGAACTAAAAAATAACAAAGTGAGATTTATTAATATTCTACACATTTCTTTTTCATGTTCACTTTTTAATTTCTTTTTTGTAGACACTGCAGTATTTATATCTCGTGGATAATAACGTCTCCGCTAATGTGAAAACTCATTTGACAAAACAAGATATTTGTACTAGCAGATTTGTGCGCGGAGCGGACTCACTGGCTAATAATAGATGAATGAATTCAAGGTTAACTGTGTGGTCCAAAGACTCCCTACCTCTGTTTACCACGGCAACAATTTTAATGTGCAGGTAGAAACAAGACAGAACGTTTCACTGGTTGATCATCAATGATTTAAAGTAGAGATAAGAAGAAAAAGAAAGTACTATTCATCATCACTGAAAAGTGCACCGCGGTTGCCTTCTAGTGGCGTAGACATCGAAGGGGCAGGTATCGATGGGCTACACCCTTGTAAAAATCTATGGGTAATCGAATGATAGGACTATTAAATGTCTAAGTCTATGAACTGATTGGTGACAATGATAGCTGAGATATTATGGAATACTTTCAGTAGCTAGACTCAAAATTTTCTGTTGTCTTTGGCAACAATGACCTTAATTTTTGAGATTTTTTGCTTCTTGCGTTGAAATCGTAGGCAATTCGTGTAAAATTTAAAATGCAATTACCAACTGCTTTAAGTAATCTCTGACAATGTTTAACTCTCATATCTTCGCTCGTTCTTCGATCATGCTGCTGATCCGTAGATAGATTTAACCTAATGAGATCACTTGAAGTAAACTTCTTGAAACACATCTTGAGTGGAAATAAGACAAATGCCCGACTTTATTTAACAGCATCCATATCTAGATCGTTTATGGTTAGATTTCAAATTCATTTTTATTTAAAAAAAGTAAAATCAATTAGGATCATTATGAAAACCAGTCGAACTCTCTCAAGATGGTAAATGGTAGCAACAGAGACCGAAACCGAACCTAATAGTCGAATAATTCGATTCGACTCATGCGAATCGAATTCAAATTGAGATTTTCGAATTTGTTTGGGCCTATGGCATAGATATTGTCGAAGCAAATGAAGATATTTTTCAAGGCGACTGAATTGAATTGAATTCGAACTGAGATTTTATTATTCGTTGTGGTCTCTGATCAACAATACTTTTAATTAGTGTTGTAAGCGAAGGTCTCACCAAAATAATGTACAAAGTTATTGGTGCGCTTAATGTTCAAGAAATTTTTGACTCTATATCCAATCATCAAGACCATTAAAGAATGTTCACATGAATTTTGTAAAGCAGTATTTCTTCTTGCATAGTATTAGTTTGATGTTTATTATTTTCAATCCTCAGAGGATGAGCCTTCTTAACATTAGTCTCGCATCAGGTTGGCTATGAGCATGGGTATGATTTTTCTCTTTGCCAAAGGCCGCAGCGCACATCCACACTCTGCGACAATCACAAAGCAATATGTAAGTCTACTTGTTATCAGGGTCGAGATTATTAATCGTTTGATAATGTAAAAGATGTTTCGTTTTACGATGTCCATGATGAAGACTGATCTAATTTTCTTTTCGTTTTCATAATGTTGTTTCTCAATATATACAATTTTCTACACAATTCAGGACTTCGTTGATCATCCCCATACTAACTCATTTGATTTCTTTACATCTTCCAATGAAGAACGAATTTACTCACTCTAATTTGCAAGGTTTACAGAATCGAGCACTTTATGTCAATTCATTGACGACCTATGGTTTAATCAAAATCGAATTGAACTGTGTATGTGTGAATGTGGTCGTGAGTCATGGTTATCAACAACTACATCCACCACCACACACATCCTCAATCTTTACTGCACTCAATATTCATCTCTTCGATAGCTATTCGATTATTTCAATAATTATAGGCATATACAAGAATTATGATTTTGAAAATCTAGTTAGATGCTGGAAGTCCATATCGCTTTGGCCTGTGCAAGTTCTATGTCACAATATAACGACACAAACCTTCTGCAAAGAAGGGTGGGTGTGGGTATGCATGTGTGCCTGGATGTTTTTTCTGTACAGAACTTCCATCCAAACGTCACGCCCACGCTGACACCCACACCCACCCTTATCTTCAAGTGGTGATTACATGTTATATACAGTATGATAAACGATAACTGACTTTTTTTTAAACGGCTGAGAAATCAATCGATAGAGTGTGGGTGTGGGTGTGAGAGAAAAGAAGATCCGCACTCACACCCATACCCACACCCTTTATAAGAAAGCTATTTGAGATTCTGGGAGACTAGAAACACAATTGCAGGAACTTATATTTTAAGCTTGAAAATAGAAAAACGGCCAAATTTATGGCCATTTAATCTACAGATCTAAATATTCCTATGGATGGTTTTATAATCTGAATATTGATAGATTCGATTAGCCTTCGTAGTTTCCATATTTGAAAAAAACATTTTTTTCTGAAACAGAATTTAATATTCATCCAAATTTCATAGTGGATATCCATACAACCGAAGTAATACCGATAGATACCACTTTTTTCTCATAGAGGCAATATGGAAAGACGCTCTTCCAACAAAACTAAAAACAAAAAGGTTTCACAACCGAGATCATATCGACGTTCAGCACTATCAATTAAAATATTCACCTATCGGTTCTGGTCGTCCAGTCAAAAGAAAAATTGGCGAAGTGGCTTAAAGAGACAGGCAAAAACAAGTAAATATTTTACTAGATATTATTTTTTGGTTCGATTTCAGTCGTTTTTTAAGATTATGTTATCAACTTATGATGATGTTACATTACAAAATATTCAAACAAAAACTGAAAGGTTACGCGATGTGTCTGATATTGATATACGTACTCAGCTTCATCTATGGCAGGAGATTCTACACTTTCGACGACAATGTATTCGTGATAGACGCATATCAGAAATTCTTAAAGAATTTTCAGGTTATTTCAATCCACTTTTGGTAATTTTAGTTTTCTCAGATTGTTTTCGTCAAATAAATAGTTAATTTTTATTACAGATATTTGAAGAGGTCAAAATGACCATGAGTGTTGATTTAAGTGCTGTTGTTAGACGACAGATACTGATTTTACTTGATAAAATGATTAAAGTGCCTATTTTTATTACTGGTAACTATATAGATTCATGTATGTTCTAATGAATCATGTTTGGTTTTAGATTCACTTGTTATTCAGCTCATTAAACTGCTATGTCGACATTTTGATGAAACTATACATCATACACTTTGTAGTTCTGTAAGTGTTGTCTCATAGTTTCTCTAAAAGAATCTTTTCTTGGTACTGAAGACGACTTCACGAAATGCTATAAAATAAGTCGATTTAACTACGTCTCAGAAATAGAAAATAGTTTATGAACAAATGAATCTCTATTAGCTGTTTAGTAAGATTCTTCTAGTTGAAAAATAAAACAAAGACTTCACTAGTCTTTTGCCTTCAACTCTTAAAGCAGAACGGTCTTGGCTAAGATCTCTGAAAGTATTATTAGTTTTCCATAGTGAATTCAACAGAATATTGTACGTCAGATTTGTATTCATAGGAAATAAACGGACAAATGTTGCAATATTATTTTCCTTTATATATTTCACTCACTCATAACTTTGTCAGTCGTTATCACGTCGAAAGAAGTCAAAAGAATAGTTGAGATGAATCCCTCTATTAAATAAATTACAAAAAAAAATTCAAGTTAAATTTCGACTAACGAAAAGCCTGCTAAGATTTCGCCTTGTTTATTGGTCATACTGTTCCAACGAGTCACACACCTATTGTTCACTTTAATGCTGTGCCACATTCTCAATCCCCATGTTAGTAATTCGTGCCCACGGAAAAATTTTTGGAGTAAAGACGCGGTAGAACGCGGTTTTGACGGGACGCATAAATAATCTGACTCCCACGGTTTTCCAACACCGTCCGAAACCGAGGTATTTACAAAACGCGGTTACCGACTGTTCCCATGCCCTTTGAACCGGCAAAAACTATCGGTTAACCGCGGTCAACCGTTCGGTACACCGCAGTTAACCGCAGTTAACCAGCAGTTATTTTCGGTCAATCAACGGTACATACGGGTAATCGACGGTTAACAGCGATCAACTGCCGGTTCTTTATCATCATCTCCTCACAACTTCTCTCACCCAGTAAGGAAATTATATGTGATTTATTTTATGAATTAATACAAAATTAAAATTTATTATATCTTACCTATAATTGAATCAGCTGTTGGACCAAATCTAAATAGAAAAACAATAATTTTATTTTTAATAAACTGATACTTACATTGATACAGCTGTTGGACCAAATCTAAATAGAAAAATAAATGATTTAATTTTTAATAAATTCATACTTACATTGATTCAATTGTTGGACCAAATCTAAATAGAAAACAAATAATTTTATTTTTAATAAATTAATACTTATTTTTGTCATCCGTATAGTTAACTCAGGTGAATTGTATTTTGTGGTCAAGTAGGTTATCATTTTTGAAAGTAAGGCAACGACATATATAGTTTATTACAATCGGTTGACGGACAAAAATGCCTAAATTGAAAATAATGACCACTGTCTCCATGTGTCCATAGTTAGCTTTTTCTTTTGTTTACTGAAAAGATATGGAATTCAATTGAAATGATCTGGTAAACAAACTATTTTTTCTTAATAGTGTTAAAATTCTTCTTAAGAAAATTTCTTTTTGCGACACATTATTTTTTTTGCAGATCTATTGATTTGACATTTCTTCTATATCAACTCACATCATTTAATGACTTATTCTGTTTACTTTGTTTCAGATTTAATGATGGCTACAAGTGTTGCGTCGCAATCACTACAAAGAACAAACAGTAACAATGACTTAAACGTTTTTTTATTGATTCAAAATAAAATAAATGATGATTTTTTAATCGTATCACGAGACAATTTAACACCAACACTACGAAGTGGAAAATTAACTCTTAATCAAAAAGTGACTTTTCGAAACGAAGAACGAAATACAATTGAAGGGGTTAGGTTATCGTTTATATGCGTATGTATACAATGTTACTTTTTTCATTTTCTTGCTAAAATGTTCTTTTTCGAATCAATTTTTTACGAGTAGATTACAATCGGAATAACTGTGTAATTGCTAAAAAAGAATTACTTGAAAAAAGAAAACTTCAACAAAATCAAAATCATACAAATACACGTTTAAATATTTCAACTGTTTCTGATTCATCAATATCGTTATCACCAGTTAATATTATGAATAAACCTCTAAAAAAAGTTGCAAAGAAACCATCAAACTTACAGAAAAAAATAAGATCAATCAACTTGATAAACATGCATCAATTCTAACATCAACAGCACCATCAAATAATGTAGATGAAGATGACGACGATGACACACGCACACCTGTTAGTATTAAATATTCGTTATCATCAATTGGAACAACACTTAATGAACAAGATAAAATAAATACTATCGTCGATGATGAAATCGAAACATCATCAACAAATACGGATGCTAATCGAAATATTTACTTAGACAAGATAAATGAATTATCTGCAAAAGTAAAACAACTAGAGAAAATTATTAAACAAAAAGATATTGAAATTAAAAGATTACGATCGACTACAATTGGTAACTCAATATTGATTTCTTAAGGCCCCCCCCCCCCTCAAAAAAAGTGAATTTTCGTGAAAATGTTCGAAATGGAGTTAGATACATCGGGAGATAGCCCGTTTTTCGCTGATTCCGAAATGCTATAGCTTTTTATCAAAAGACCCTTTTTTGACTGAAAGTCATTAGGGTTTCTGTAAGCCCCCCCCTCAAAAAATGTGAATTTT